GTAATTCCCTGATCTCTCACAAACACTAAAGAACATTCAGTAGTTGTGCTAGAAGGCACTACCATGGGACAGTTAAGTTTTGGAGAAAAACTGTCCTATTTTCTGTAAAAATAAAAAAATCAAACTGTATAAACAAAACAAAAGAAAGGGATTGCCAAGGTCATTATGTCCTTAAAGGTTTTCTCTGGCCCTGACTTTAGATACATTCATCACCAACATATACTTATTTTTTATGGAAATATTAATATATGCATTATTTTTTACATCCAGATATTAATGTAGGTATGGGACTTATTTGAACTTGCTTCACGGCTAGGTAATTTAGTTTTTCAAAAAGAATGAAGGGCTAATTATTAGGCAATAATGTGATCAAATTGCCAAAAGCTTCGAGGTGGTTCTATTTCAGTTCTCAGCCTGATGTGCTTTTAAAAATATCTCTACTTAGAGTAGTTACTGTTCATAATGCTTTATGGAATCTTTTTAGCTAACAGCTTGGATGATAAAGAAGCCATTATCCTTGATTTGGTGTGTTTAACCCAAGTTGAATTTATGACAGACTGAAAATTAGCTGTCATGTGGTACACCTCACTTCCTGTTCTGTGCAACTTGATGTGTGTGTGAGCCGCATGTCCAGCAGGATTTGTAAGAATATGTTATTGATTGATGGGAAAACTGTTTCAAAGTACCCTGCAAAAATGTACAAGATAACATGTGCAGGGTACATATAACCTTGCAGTTTTGGTTTATAAGAGATTTAGCCTTTGGCTAAACAGCATATGAATAAATCTATTAGAAATTTTTCAGGAGAGGAAAATTCAGGATTTACTTCTTTAATTTCCGGGCTTTTATGCAGTTGACCAGTTTAGGAGGGAGATCGTATTAGTGCTTTATTTCCAGAGCAGATGAGAGATTATGAAACTACCTTAGTTTCTGAAATACCGTGGATCAAAGAATTCAATGCGAATCTGCCTTGCCCACCTCTCCCACTTCATTCCCATTACCTCATACTTACTTCTAGGAAGTACCTCGTTTACCACATGTATAGCTTGTATTGCATTTAAGGCTCTGACCTCATCCCCCATCTTATTAAATGATTTCACAACATAATATTGATTGATTAAAAATTTCTTAAGCAGTGAAGTCAAGATAGCTCTCCAGAAGAAGAATGAAATAGAATATACAGGATTTCTCATTTAAATGCAGCCCAGGATAAGTCATTACTGTGTGCTAATCTCTGACCAAAGAGATAGACTTTCTTAGTGGGCTTATATCTGTGTCTTTCACCACCAGCATTGGCCACTTTATGGGCAGTCATGTGAAAAACTAGGCACAGAATGGAACTTGCATGAGTATCTTTCTGTACAGATAGTTCTAATACATTATGGCTACATCTCCCAAAGATACTTTTATATTTGGCACATTTCCTGTAATACCTAAGAAACTAAACAGACAAGTCTTTTATGTTTTATTTTTAAAGATTTTTTTTTAAAAGATTTTATTTATTTAAATATTTTACAGGGAGAGACACAGCGAGAGAGGGAACACAAGCAGGGGAGTGGGAGAGGGAGAAGCAGGCTCCCCACTGAGCAGGGAGCCCGATGCAGGGCTCGATCCCAGGACCCCGGGACCATGACCTGAGCCGAAGGCAGACGCCTAATGACTAAGCCACCCAGTTTGTTTATTTATTTATTTATTTATTTACTTATTTAACACAGAGCGCGCAAGTGAGCGCAAGCAGGGGGAGGGGCAGAGGGTGAGGGAGAAGCAGATTCCCTGCTGAGCAGGGAGCCTGATGTGGGACCGGAGCCGAAAGCAGACGCTTAAACAACTGAGCCACCCAGGCATCCCTGGAGATGTTTCTAATAGACAAATTTCCAGTTGACTACCACTACCTGCTTACATTCTAATTTGACCCACACCTATTCTGTATAACATGGAGGCATGCATCATTCATATGGGTTCTATGGCTTTACAAAGAGGAACCTAGTAGGTAGCTAGAAGGAAATCCTAGCTATTGTCAGAATTTTGGTTTTAAAAGGAAACCAGTCTAAACATTTCCCTCCTTTTTGTAGATGAAAAAGTAGAGAGACATGAAGGAATTTTCAGGGTTGGTAGGAGAACCAAATACTAGATCAAAGACTGGCTTGAACCCTTCCTACAGTAGCATCTTGGACCTAGTCCATCTTTGAGAAAAGTTTCAAGCTACTCAGTAATCTAGAAGTTGCCCTGGGCATCTGAAGCCTGCCAGAGTATTGTGAGGCCTCAAGATATTTAATACAAGGAGCAGTAATGCAGCCAGCAGGAACACCTCACATCTTTGAAGGTACAATGGTGGAGTTATGAGTGATAGAACTCATACATAGAAATTACAGACATCATTCAGAATGCTTTTGTGACTTCTTTGTAAACATGGAAATATCTGACAAGAGATGCCTAGATTTGCTAGTAAAGATGGTCAAGAACAAGATGATTATTTGTCTCATTTAAACTGATCCTTAAATATTGGCAGCAAGTCTAGGAAATTACGTCAGTATTATATTTCTGAGCAGGCCTGACTTTTAGCTTGTACTTCAGAAGGAGGATATTGTGCCCAGATTTGCAATTTAACCAACTAAAAGAATAATATGTTTATTAATTAGGGTAAGATTTGGCTATGAAAAAAGGTACAAATAACAGTTCAGTCAAGGTAGAGATTGATTCTTCTTTTGGATTAAAAAGTCCAGAGGGAAGGGAAGTCCAACATTGGTTACTTCACAGCCATCGAGAAGTCCGGTTTTCTTCTTTTTTGTTCCATTCATTCTTGGCACTGATATCCTCAAGTTGTCTAGTGGTACTAGATGGCTTCTGGAGCTTGAGCCATTGTCAAGGGGGGGGCCTACTTCCAACTTGAGTCAGCTCCCATGAAAGAGCTTTTCTAGAACCACCTCAACTAGCAATTTCTGCTTCTCTCTCACTAGTCATTCCTGTTATCGAGAGAGGCTGTAAAGTTAGAAGTGGGCAGGTTGCTAATCACAGTAATTAGAAGTTTTGTTATTAAGTAAGAAGGAGAGAATGGACACTGGGCAGGCAACTAACAGATCTGCCACAAGCTGTTTTGAAGAATATATTTATATTAGGAAAATCAAATTTTAGTGACATCAAAAACTATTATATAGGATATAAATTTGAAAAATCCCCAAACTACCGTCTACCATATGTCTGATTAATAAAAGCAATGATTCTGTACAGTGGTGTTCTGCTTTGGATTTTTCAGCAGGACTTACTGGAAACAGCTGTTAGGTTTTGTGTATTTTAAATAAACTGAAAAATGAGTTCAGAACAACAGGGGAAAAAAAGACACTTCAAATTAAATCGTTTCCCTTTAGAGATAGGGAGAATCAAACAGCTACAAGGACAGTTGAGTAGATATTAATGGAGCTGGCAGGAGCAGAGTATACTACATTCGATGATATGAGCTAGGGATGAACATATCAAAACACTCAAGTTGCTTCATACCTAGATGGAACAAGAGAGACTGCGGCAGCACATGGAAGAGGCATGAATACATGTCATAGCAACGAAGCACACCAACCCCAGATAGACAAGATTTATCCTGGAGACGAGGATGGGCATACTGGGCTAGAGGTTTAAGTAGTAGATACTGTCTAAGTCCTTTTGGGCTGCTGTAACAAAATACCACAGACTGGGTGGCTTATGAAGTCAGAAATGTCTTTCTCACAATTCCAGAGACTGGAAATCCAAGATCAGGGTGCCGTCATGGTCAGGTTCTGGCAGAGACCCTCTTCTGACTTTTTGCTGTGTCCTCACACAATGGAAGGGGCTAGGGAGCACTCTGGGGTCGTTTTTTTTATAAGGACACTGATCTTAGTCACGAGGGTTCTGCCCTCATGATCTAATCACTTCCCAAAGACCCCACCTCTGAAAACCGTCACATTGGGCATTAGGTTTTCAACATAGGAATTTGAGAATTGGGGGTTGAGAAGACATAAGCATTCAGATTATAGCAGAGAGAATCACCTCTGTTTGTATCCTGCCTGTACATATAAAGAGAATGGAGAGAGGGAGAGAATGTTGTCGTCTAAAAAACTTTGTAGGCAGAAGCAACTGCAGACCATGGTATATATAATTGTGTAAGATGGAAGTGCTTCTGCTCTATGAGACCAGATTTTTTAAAACATAGCCTTGTTTGTATCCACTGTTCACATGGTGCCATTTAACACTTATTTACTGAATGCCTCATATTTACAATACACTTTAAAGAGGAAATTCATTCACAAGTTGCCACTTAGGTGAGAAAGTCTAAATTTTGGCATCTTAGAGCTATGAATTTCAAATCTGGGGAAAGCCCAGCTTTTTTTTTTTTTTTCTTTCTTTCTTCCTTTTCCTTTGAGAATTACTTACAGTAACCGACCCCTGTGTGTTGACTTTGCCCCAGTGATAGAAAACAGGAAAGTACAGAGACTCCCTGTGAGAAGAGCGTCAGGCTGCACCCTCTGTGACCTCAGCCCTTCAGTCCGAGTTCTCCTTGGGGCAACAGCTGCAAACAGCCCATGTGGCGTTGGCAGTAAGCATAGGGAGCACAGATGAAACAGGCTAATGCACCAGGGCCAGGTGGGCTGGCTTTGAGCGCAGTGAGCTGTCTTTTGAACCTTTTATGACAGTGCACTTTCGGGCCTCCTTGGGGGAGAATAGTTTATGCTCTGATCCAGTAATGGATCAGGGACCATTCTCTGTCTTATACAGCAGTGGAAATACCTTTGTCACTCTGGTATAAAATAGCTGCTTATTTGAGGCCATTGTGCAGTGGCTCGCCTTTCCTGCCCATTATTAGTTCCCTTTGAAGCTGCTGTGCTCAGTTTAGGTTCTCCAGAGGGACTATGAAAGAAAATGGAAATCTCACAAATTGTGCTTTTTGTATATCTACTCAGTGCTGATGGAGCTATCTCATGTTTTGGGTTTTATGTCCCCCACTCTGTACCCCTTTTCCCCTCTGCTTGCAGGTGAAGGTCTTCCACAGGTGTATTACTTCGGACCATGTGGGAAATACAATGCCATGGTGCTGGAGCTCCTTGGCCCTAGCTTGGAGGATTTGTTTGACCTCTGTGACCGAACTTTTACTTTGAAGACGGTGTTAATGATAGCCATCCAGTTGGTAAGTTGGCATTGCTATTCTGCAGAAAGATAGGTGGGTCCCCCAGCTACATCCTTGTGACCCTTTTAGTGCTTTCCCAGCTATAGTGACACCTAGTGAATGCACACTCAGAGGCTTGATGGCATTCTAGGAAGCAGGCCGGGCAAAAAGGGTTAGCCTAGAGAAGTCATACTGCATCTTCTGTTCGCTCTATTTTAAGAATTTGCACCTTGGAGCAACACCTTGCCCTTAACTGAAGTAGAAGCATATAATTTAGATTGAGGAGAAAGAGAATGATTAGGTGAAATTGTACAAATGTAAGTAATTTCCTTGATGTTTTATTTATAGGTTTTAAACACATGGCTTTAAGGTTCTGTCCTCTCCCCTCACCCTTGCATCCAAGAAAGGATTGGTGATGTAACCCACTGCCCTAAACAATCAGATTCCAAAGTTGTGTGTCCAAGAACCCGCCTTAGTTCTCTGGCCTCTACTTCTCATAGAGACTGGCAGAGCTGAAGGGATAGCTCTCTCAACTCCAACCAAATTATATACCAGTGCCAGTTCAAGAGCAGTTAAGGCAGTTCCTTTGAGGAGTTTGTCAGCCCCTCAGAGGAAGGATGCAAATGCATCTTTATTGGTCTGAAACGGTAATGGTCTCACCCACTTTACAGTAAAAGCTTGGAAATGTTAAAAAAAATTGACCTTGAGGGGCGCCTAGGTGGCTCAGTCATTAAGTATCTGCCTTCGGCTCGGGTCATGATCCCAGGGTCCTGGGATCGAGCCCCGCATCGGGCTCCCTGCTCGGCGGGAAGCCTGCTTCTCCCTCTCCCACTCCACCTATGTTCCCTCTCTCGCTGTGTCTCTCTCTGTCAAATAAATAAAGAAAATCTTAAAAAAGATTTTGACTTTTGAGTCCAAAATTGACCTTGACTTTGGAGTCCAAAATTCAAATGCCTGAGCTTCCCTTTCTATGCTAAGTAGAAACATAAATGGAAATAAAACTTAATGAAATTTGAAATAATTTTTTAAAGATTTATTTATTTTAGAGTGAGAGAGAGAGATCGAGTGTGCATGCACATGGAGGGGGCAGAGGGAGAGAGAATCCTCAAGCAGACTCCCTGTTGAGCACAGAGCTCAACACGGGGCTCGATCCCAGGACCCTGAAATCATGACCCGAGTGGAAATCAAGAGTTGGCTGCTTAACCAGCTGAACCACCCAGGTGCCCCTGAAGTAATTCTATGATTGTTACTTTGGACTATATTTACTTTTACATAAAAACTGCACTTTTCTCTCTGTTGCTAGTTAGCTCTATGAAATCAAAATCCAGTACTAACTTCTCTGGATCTCACTTGCCATGTTTTTGTAACAGAAAGAACTAGGTTGCGGAGTCCTGTTGGATTGAGGATAGGAAGGTGTAGGCAGGAGGTGAATGTGGCAGTGGCACCTGTCTTCAGAGGCCACAGACCTATTGTGATAATCCTGGCTGGGGATCTTCTTGCCTCTCAAATGTGTGCTTTCTGAAGTAGCCTAAAAACACCTAATTCTATTCGTCATTTATAAATTGTAACATTATGAGGTAAAACTATTATCATTTTAGCTGAACAGTGCTGTCCCACTTTCATTTATCTTGATATTTGTTATGTATATATTTGTATCAGAATATTTTCTGGTTTATAAGAGTGAAGTGACTGGGTGGTAAAGAAATGAGTTTTATTTTTCATTTCAGTAGTTAAAACCTTGGACTGATAAAAGAAAATGTTTTGATGTTTTTTTCCCCCAATAAACTTCCTTAGAATACTTTCATTGATGTTTTTTTCTCTTTTAGCTTTCTCGAATGGAATATGTGCACTCAAAAAATCTCATTTACCGAGATGTGAAGCCAGAGAACTTCCTGATTGGCCGACAAGGCAACAAGAAAGAGCATGTTATACACATTATAGACTTTGGCCTGGCCAAGGAATACATTGACCCTGAAACCAAAAAACACATACCTTATAGGGAGCACAAAAGTTTAACTGGAACTGCAAGATATATGTCTATCAACACGCATCTTGGCAAAGGTGTGTTTATTTTCTGCTCCATGAAAGGGGCGGGTCCTTAAAATAACTTTTTATTCCAATAATACTTTTGTCCCCATTGTGCTTTACAACTTGTGATTCTTATTGCTTCACAAGGCAAGTGATTTTTATACCTGAAAAACTAAGGTGCTAAGTTACTTTCCTAAGTATCCTGTTGACAACTTAACATTTTTTAATTCTTTATACTGTTTCCAAATGCTTAGTTTCTCAGCAGTGTGGGCACTTGAATTGTTGTATTAAGGTGATATCATTTTAGTAAGTCTAATGATGAATTTGGTGTTTACGTAGGAATGACTCCTTATATAATGATGGTCCTGAAAGGACATCATACTGGTTGGTATCTGTATTGGGGAAGGGTGTGTTGCTGAAACATGGACTCGGCTTCTGTTCACTGTGCATAATTCCATGAATAATGCTTTGAGGAAGAGCCTGTGTCTTTTCTTACTCAATGAAAATATATAAGTCTTGCATTTTATTTAGGATAGACAATTTGCACAAATATTACTAAAAGCTCTAATCAAGGCAGAAGACCTTACTTGTAAGAGGAACTAATCCAGGGGAGAATATTTAAAAAGAAGCCTAAGGAACAGTGGGAAGCCAAATAGATAAGGCCCTGGGCCCCTCACTAGCTTCTTCAGAAAAGCTTCCCTTTTTATCTGTTTTATATATTGGGCTTCCATGGAAGATTCTGTTTGAAGAAAAGGTTTCAAAGTGATTGAAAAAAAATGTTTGAAAATCACCACTCCTGAGAGTAGACATGTAAACAGAATATTACCAGGTCCCATACTCCTAGACATAGTTAATTATAGTGGGTGTTTAAATATTAATGAATTTTTGTACATTAATGTACATTAATAAGTGTTTTAAAGACTAAATGGCTACAAAGTTGCCTTGTTGAGTAAACTGCATAGGTATTCAGATGAGGATTCTAGTGTTAGTGAGGAGTAAAAATCAGATTACAAAGTGATACAACTTGAATTGAAATCATGAATGCTGTCAAGATTTTTTTAGTAACCATATGGAAATCCTCTTAATTAAATGTAATATTTTAAGATTAGATCAGAAGGTCCTCTGCCACTTATTATCTGTGTCATTTTGGAGAAGTTACCTAATCTTCCTGAAACTTATCTGTAAAATGAGAGTAATATTGCACAAGGATGTGTTTGTGGGTTGAATGAGTAATGTATGTAACATAGGTCTCTTGCATAGTGTTCAATATTCCCTCTTCCTTCCTTTTTACTAAGAGACAGACTATGTCGTAAATAGTAAAGTCATGATTGTTTGGTTTAACTGACAGACTCTAGAAGTTGCTCTAATGCCTGCTTCCTAGACACAGCAATTTGTGTTCTGATTTTATTATTCTTGTCAGGGAAGGCAAGAAGAGACAAGGGATAGGTGTCTGTGTTATGTTTGTATAAGGTACAAGGTAATGGTTAAGAAGAAGGGATGGAAATCCTGGCTCCTGCACTTAAAGCTATGTGATTTGGGTCCAGTACCTTCCCTCGGCCTCAGTTATCTCATCTATGAAATGGATATGATAATAGTGCCTTATACTGTAGGATTCTGAGAGATAAAGTATATAAAGCGTTTAGCATAGTGCCTCATGGTAGCAAAGATTCTAAATGGTAGTTATTTATTGGACAAAGTATGTTTTAAGCGTGTATGGTCATCAGACTGGGTTCTTTCATCTCTTGGTGTAGCCATTCCTGCTGGAACTTTGAGTTTATCTCCAAACGTGAATTTCCTGCGTTCCAGAGTTTTCCAGGTCACATTGAACCTGTCCACGTATTTTGTCCTCTCCATATTACAGAGAATACATATAGATGGTTGTCACATGCGCTTTAAACTCTGGTCTGGGTCTCAAAGCAGAGAGGTTTCCATAGGAACTCGAATCATACTGGTTTTTAAATGTGTAGCATTCTGTATGTTCTAATGAAGAAAAAGAGAAGGGTATCTTCAAATGACTTGGAGAGCATTGTCTATTTGTGAGGGAGAACAAGGGAAGAAGCCTCGTAAACCTGACATTACCACATCAGATTAGCCACCTTCTCGCTGATTAAGGTAGCCCATTTTGATTTTGTATTCTTTAATGGTTGAAGTTAGGGTGAGAACGCTGGGTCACCTAGCTGCTTTCCTCCAGCAAAATAAATTTTACCTAGAATCAGGGATGTGACACATGTAAAACCAAGCATCTTTCTGAATGATTGAGAGCAGGCCTTTATGGTGTGGAAAAATTCTGTGTCCTGCTGGCCCCACTCATATTAAAACCTTTCTTATTTGAAAAGGAGAATATCCTTCAGGAAAAAACATGAGGACATGTGGAAACGCTGAATTCAGTGAATGTGGAGTTTTCAAAGAAGTATGGAAATAAAGCATGACTCTGGTTTTCACTTTTTTTGGGGGGGAAGGCTTAAATTATCACAGATTAATTACTAATGGCTCAAATTAATGACTTTGGAATTTTAGAACTGGAAAATGACTTTTCAGATTATCTAAATCAACCACTTTATTTTCAGATGAGGGGACTGCATGCAGCCCAAAGTAGGTGACTTGGCCATGCTTGATTTCACATGGATCAAATTAATGGAAAGAATGGGCCAGGAGCTAGATAACCGGACTCAGGAGCCATTGTTCTTCCTATTATTCCATATTCCACAGCTATTTTTCATGGTGCTCAGTATTTGGAAAACCACTTTATTAGTTATTCCAGTGGGTTTACATGTGTTTTCTGTTTGTTTGTTTGTTTGTTTTGATTAAAAAAATTTTATAATGGGCTTCGCTGTGGAGAGGAAGTTGGGCTTTTTTCTGAAGTGCTGATCAATATTGAAAATGTGGAGAGTCTCGCCCTCTAGTGCTCAACTAACAAAAGTGCAACCATTTGTCCAGTGAATTTTTATTACCAAGGGGCCTCTTGTTAGAGGAAGCGGATATAAAAATGGAAAGGCAATGAGTAGGTGTGATACAGTGTGAGAAACTGCAGGGTGTGGTTCCTCTATCTGCCCTGCTTTGTGGGAGGCCTCAACTCACCCTGCTTGTACTTTCTTTTTTATTGTGTATCTTTAGGTTCTGTTACATCTAACAGCTTTTTGTTTTCAATTACATATAAAATTTGTTGTAAACCTCAGGCAAGTGTGTAGACAAAAACTTCTGTTGGTCTTGCTGTTTTATTTCATTCTTTTAAAGATTGAGTGCATCCACTCAGTTTTATGTTATTTCTCTTGTCAGGGTACCTCCCTTTCCCATTAGCGACCACCTTGCCAAAAACCATTTTCCAAACCGCAATTTAGAAAGTTGCCTTTTCTTTCCTCATCTGCCCTGTAGAGTTCTATTCACTCTTTTTCATGCACATTTCCCATAATTGGAGGCAGCCCTTAAACATGTTGTACTTTTGTATTTTGAGCTGAGTAGCTTTCCCTGCCTCCCTGCCTTTTAGATTTTCCCCTCTGCACAACGAAAGCATGATTGAGTTTAGAGTAGCCCCTTAATCTTGTCTCTAATTTCTCTTGATAAAGCCCTAAATTTGATTCTGAGAAATAAACACATAAGATGTCTGCGATGAGCCATAATTGGCAAATAAGGAATAGAGGCATGTACTACTTCTATTCAGTCTGACAACCCAAGAATACATAAGGATGTTCTCTGAGATAAAATGACAGTTTTTTGTTAAGTATTCTTTGTTTCTTTACCATCTTAGTCTTTCCAGTTAAAAGGAAAGAAAAACCTAGCAACTTTTTTTACACGGTAAGCTCCCAGAATGTGGGGATCCTGTTTTATGTGCCCATAAAGGGCACCTTAAGTAATACATTTTAAATTTTTTTTAAGGTAGCTATGGAACATGGAACAAATGGATTGTTAATTTTTATGATGAATTAAAAGCACTCGACATGTATGCTAGGCATTCTGCAGCTTGTGTCTTTGCAGGCCTAGCCAGAATGGACTATTTAAAAGTTTCAGCTGCTTAACCTGCTTCTCACTTTCCGTGATGGTCACCCAAGGGTAACTGTAGCTCATATACCGGAAGTAACATTTCGTTTAAGTTATCTTACTTTCAGGAAGGTGACAACAATGACTGAGGGGTGGTTACTCACCATTTAGTGATTTGGATTTGGATTTGGTTTTAGTTTAGAATTTGCTCTTTTCCCTTGCTATTTACTTGCCAGTGACAGCAAAGGAAGTACACAATGTTTTTTGGTTTTGATCTAAAATACTATCCTTGGTTTAGATATACAAAGAATGAGTAATCAGAGCCTTTTCAGAGACAGAAGGGTTTCTGAAGGGATTACTTGGTTTTGAACCCCTTTCTGCTTTAATAACTGCAAACATAATGTGTGATCTGTTTTCCCTTTTAGAGCAAAGCCGACGGGATGATTTGGAAGCCCTAGGCCATATGTTCATGTATTTCCTTCGAGGCAGCCTACCCTGGCAAGGACTCAAGGTATCCTTGAAAGTGCTCAGTGGAGGGCTTTGTTTCAATACTCAGTTGTTAATGGAGGGGTTGCTGACTCCATGTCTGTAAGAAGATGTGCTGGCGACAGAGATGAGAAGCAGGGACTGGCTACATCAGTCTATATTGTAAATGCTCCCCTGGGCTTTGGGAGCTCTGTTTTGCCTACATTTGTCTTCCCCTTCTGAATCCTTCTTCCTTGTTTTGGGGTTTTCCATAATCTCTTCCCTTGTTCCCTCACAGCCTTGGCAGTGCTGCTTTTCTCTGTGTCACTTTCCTCCTCCACTACCATTATGTAGCAGGAAGAGTGTTCCCAGCGTGCTGGGGAATTTCTGGAACAAATTGATGACAGCAGCTGCTACACATTTTACCAGCAAGGCCAGCAGGGCTGGGTGTGCCCCTAAGGAGAACTGGAAAATATTTGTTCTTCCTCTATAGGCTAAGGACCCACCTGAACTAAAACAAAAATCCAGGTTTAATGTTACTGTTCACGTGTTTTATTCAATAAATGCCTATGCAGACGATAGCCGTTCCTTATGAAGCATGTAGTTTAAATAGCCTTCCTTAGGTAGGTATCGGTATAGGGCATTTGTGTTCAAGGTAACTATTGATAATAATTATAACCACTGTAATTACTTCGTGTCTTTGGCTGGTTGGAGTAGGAAATGGTGAATTTCTAGCACATTTTAAGTCCCATTAGATAGTTAAATGTGAGACATATTTTTGAGTTTTAATTTATTTCAACATGTTAGTATGGAAAGAAACTTAATCAGTAGCTTTGGGTACTTCTACGCCCCGGAACCCCCTCCCACTCTCCCTCCAGAAGGACAGAAGGATTCATTTGCTATGCTTTCTAGGCTGTTGTCCTGAAAAGTAAAGCTTCTGCCCCTTCCCTTTGGGAAGGTTTTATTTCTTTGCCCTTAAATTCCTCTCCTAACACCTCCTGGTCTTCTCCTAGTCATATATATCTTCTCATTGGTATTGGTAACTGTCAGATAGAGTTTCACATTCTGTTTGCTCATCACATATCCAAGCAGTGCATTTGTGTATTATTGTTTGAAACTTTTTCACGGTCCACGAATCATTTTAATGGCAGTTGTAGATCTAAAATTTCTCCAGCTTTATTTATTTATTTATTTTTAAAGATTTTATTTATTTATTTGACAGAGAGAGACACAGCAAGAGAGGGAACACAAGCAGAAGTAGTGGGAGAGAGAGAAGCAGGCTTCCTGCTGAGCAGGGAGCCCGATGTGGGACTCGATTCCAGGACCCTGGGATCATGACCTGAGCCGAAGGCAGATGCTTAACGACTGAGCCACCCAGGCGCCCTCCAACTTACTTTAGAACACTGTTGCTTAAAGCTGGGTGCAGCAGCGTAGGGAGAGGCTCATGAGAATTCCTTGAGACCAAGTTGTTGGTCCACGCTCTAGGAGCCTTCTGTCTATAATCCTGAGCAAACCAGACTTGGCTGCTTTGAGCCACTGACATACATCAGACCTGTCTGTTATCCATGCCTCTATCATAGATAACACTTTTCCCTCTGGAAGCACATTGTAGAAAGGCATTTTTTTCTACTAGTTGTTCTCTTTTTCTATTCAGCTTCGCAGTAAATATTCTGTGGAGCCGTCTATCTGTCTGCCCCCACTTGGATTAGCAGTATTTTTTATCTTATGCTAGAACTGATCTGAATCACTTTTGAACCCCCATGGCCATGGGAGATTACTAAGCTTATGCAATTTTGAAAATACTGCTATATGGTTTTTTTACTTTCTTCTCCTAGCCACTCGTCTCATTACATTTGATGGTGTTTATCTGAGACTACTAAATATACTTACAAGGAAAACCTTCCAGAACAGAGCATATGTTAAATACATCATCTCTACTACATATCTTATTTACTAGAAAGGAGACTGAGCCTAGCAAATCCTGCCAGTTTGAGTGAAACAACCATCGCCTCCCCAAGCATATTGGACTGCCCTTACTTGGCACCTCTTTCCAAATAACTTTCTCTTTCTACTCTACAGGCTGATACATTAAAAGAGAGATATCAAAAAATTGGTGACACCAAAAGGAATACTCCCATTGAAGCTCTCTGTGAGAACTTTCCAGGTAGGATGCTAAAAGGACGCTCCAACCAGTGCGACTGAAGCTTTGAAGTAGGTGGTGACCATGACTTGGTATCTCTAGATAAGGGTGCTCTCCAGAAAATTCACATTTCCTTTTATTGTCATTTAGACCAAGACAGGTTTTATCACTTTCATTTGGGTCATAAAGAAAACAGATAATCGTGGCTTGGTCCAGAGCTTCTCACCACGGGAAGCATTCAGCTCATGAGCATGGCCTTTCACCTCTTTTCTACAGAAGAGATGGCAACCTACCTGCGATATGTCAGGCGATTAGACTTCTTTGAAAAACCTGACTATGAGTATTTACGGACCCTCTTCACAGACCTCTTTGAAAGGAAAGGCTACACCTTTGACTACGCCTACGATTGGGTCGGGAGGCCTATTGTAAGTATCCTGTTTTACCTCCTCACCTCAGACCAGCGCTACCTCACTACCTGACTTGCCAGATTTTCTGCTTAAGTCTGTGGGAAAAACATTCCTTTGACTGTAGACTTTATATTTGCCAACCTTTTCAGGGTGATGCCATGGGTAGCAATTACTAGAGTTGGGAAGTAAGAGCAACTCCTTTATATGTTTTTAAGATTATGGCCCATATGTCCTAAGATACCAGAACTTAAGCCAGTTCTTAAGAAGAACTTTCATTTGCATGATCCAGAAGCTGATGCTACATAAGCTGTGAAGGTACTTGACTTCTGGAGGAGTGGAATCCAGAACCTTAGGAAACTCTTGAATTGGTTCTCCTGGCCAGGGGTCCACAGGGCCTGAGAGCATGCTAACCCATCACTGTAGGATGTTTTTCTTATTTTCCAAGGTAAGCTACTCTTCAATGAGCTATTGAGGACCGGGCAGCCTCCCTTTTGCAGATAAACAAACTGAGAAGACACGAAGACTAGAAACTGCCCTTGGTGGCTGAAAATAATAATCACTTCTGTTTTATTAGAATTAGAATGATGCTCTCCTTTGTGGAGGCATTAAGTTGGACGTGTTTTCCATTTGACCTTTTGTTCTATCTTTTCCAGCCTACTCCAGTAGGGTCAGTTCACGTAGATTCTGGTGCATCTGCAATTACCCGAGAAAGCCACACACACAGGGACCGGCCATCACAACAGCAGCCTCTGCGAAATCAGGTATGTGCTGGGCCTTCCTTGTTGCAGACATTCTCCCACTTCGTGGCTAATACTAAAACTGAAGTTCTTCAGTGCCCTTGCTTCAGTGTATATACTGAAATTAAAGACAGAGGACTTGCCATTTCTCAGTGGTGTGTTATGGCATTCCAGCATTCCTTGGGGCTGGTGAATGGTGCTGAAATGTGGCCCGGTGATTTATATGAAGTATCCAGTCTAGAGAATTTGGGCTTGTCCACGTCTGTTTGCTGAAAGGGGAGTCTGCCACAGGCCTGAAAGACCTTCTGAACTTACAGGATGAACAGGGTAGCCCATTTTGGGTCTCATCTGCAGTCTAGTCTGGTGCTCTTGCCAGTGCTGAGGGGTTTTTTGCTGATTAAGAAGAGTGGGTAATTTGGACTTCCCAGCTGACCTAGGCAAAAATTGGCACCTCTCTTTCCACTCTGCCGTGGTCCCCAGGTTAATTCTAGAGCTGGCCAAGATCTGAGATGGACCTATAGTGAAGACTTAGCTTCACTCTAGGCCACTCCAAGAGAAGGCCATGCCATCCGTCCTTCAGTGTTCATAGTTTGAGAAACTAGTGGTCTATATGAGAGGCTCCTCTCAGCCTAAAGGCAGAAGAGGCAAACACACAAAAATCAACAAACTTGACAACATTTAAAGAAAGGGGTCACTGATTGGGAAGTAAATATGATGACTTTCATCTTTATATCATATACATTTGACCCTTGAACAATACCGGTTTGAACTTTGTGGGTCTACTTATATGTGGATTTTTTTCATTAAATATAGTGCAGTACTGTAAATGTATTTTCTCTTATGATTTTCCTAGTAACATTTTCTTTTCTCTAGCTTTATTGTAAGTACAGTATATAATACAGATACAAAATATATGTTTATTGACTGTTTATGCTATCGGTGAGGCTTCTGGTCAACAGTAGGCTATCAGCAGTTAAGTTATGTGGGGAGTCAGAAGTTATATGGGGATTTTCAACTTCACAGTGGCCAATGCCCCTAACCCCAGTGTTGTTCAAGGGTCAGCTGTATGTTGCTAAGAGAAAACTTGAGGACCCCAGTAGATCAATAAGCAAAGGATATTAAACAGATACGTACACACACATACACACAGTCATTATCACCTATCAAATTAGCTTGTTCTCCTCACTCCTGACCTCACTTTTTAATATTCACAGATATTTTTATAAAAAAATGCAAAAACACTTATCATCTCAGATGTACATATGAAACCATATAGGTGAAAAATAGCATATAGAAGTACATACACATATATATACAGTGAAGTACACATATAAATAATGGATAGACTCAACATAAGTACATACTCTTAGCAAAATGTCTGGCTTGGTAAGAAAAAAATGTATAAAGGGAGGAAATCTATGTATTAGTAGGTAAAAGACAGAGTGGATAGGCAAAAAAATGGGCTTTAGCAAATTGTGTACACTAATCAGGTCCGTAGTTATATGCTTTTATCAAAGTAGTTGGCTGAAAATTACAGTTTGACTGACTTCTGATTTGACAACAGAATATCACTGACTTCTGCAATTGTTCTCCCTGGACCTCCCTTGTTAAAAATGTAGCTGAGGGGCGCCTGGGTGGCTCAGTCGTTAAGCGTCTGCCTTCAGCTCAGGTCATGATCCCAGAGTCCTGGGATCGAGCCCCACATCAGGCTCCCTGCTCCTCGGGAAGCCTGCTTCTCCCTCTCCCACTCCCCCTGCTTATGTCCCCTCTCTCGCTGTGTCTCTCTGTCAAATAAATAAATAAAATCTTTAAATAAATAAATAAATAAAATCCTTAAAAAAATAAAAAAAATGTAGCTGAGTGCACAGTTAAACTGACACTCTCCTACATTGCTCTGGACTTTGTAAATTGTTACAAATTTTCTAGAAGGTAATTGGATGAAGTTACTGTTCTCTCTGATAGAAAAATCTTATTTCTTGGGGCGCCTGGGTGGCTCAGTCTTTGGGCGTCTGCCTTCGGCTCAGGTCATGATCCCAGGGTCCTGGGATCAAGCCCCACATCAGGCTCCCTGCTCAGCAGGAGGCCTGCTTCTCCCTCTCCCATTCCCCCTGCTTGTGTCCCCTCTCTTGCTGTGTCTCTGTCAAATAAATAAATAAATAAATCTTAAAAAAAAAAAAAAAAGAAAAAATCTTACTTCTTGGAATCAATCATAATAGAACAACCCAAGATATAGATTAAGTTATGTGCATAAAATTGTTGCAATGCGATTTGAAACAAAATTTGAGAAATGATCCGCCTATTTCATTATAAGGGAATGGTTATGGATCCAGCTCAAATCTTTTATTAGATAAACTGGGTTATAATAAAGTGAGCAGCAGTGCATTTATTCAGTGGAATATTATGTAGCCACTTAAAATAACATTTAGGAAAACTTGTAGCAATCTGAAAATGTTTATGGTTTGTAGAGTGAAGAAATCAGAGTACAAAATTAGAAATACATCATGATTTCCCCTGAGGGGAAGGGAAAGTGAAAAAATCAGTGAGAGTAGATAATGCCAACATATTAACAGAAGTAGCCTTGAAACTGATAATATTACGGTTAATACTTTTCCAAACTATTCTCTGATGAAGTTATATTACCTTATAATGAAAAACGCATTTAAATAGAAAAGGTATGGAAAGAAAGAAAAAAATATTTTTAGTCAGTGAAGTCACCATAATCAGCCTATCTGCCCACTCGTGTTTTTAGAGTATTTCAAACTAAAATAGGTATTTCCTTTAGTTTCCCTTGTCTTTTCTGCTTCAGTGAATTCTTAACCAATGCTGATGTTTTGAATGTATTTTAAAAGTATGGAAAAAGAGATGTTGAAAACCTAGACTGCCAAGGTAAAAAATACGGTCATACTTAGTATTGGAGTAAAAGTACAGTAATTTTCAGTGTACTTTTAAGTGAAGGGTCACTAAGCCAGTGTGTGTAATTAGGAAATCTCATCTGCAAAGCAATAAAAAGCTTCTTTTTGAAGAATTGAATCTTGAAATTCTATTTTTTTTCCGTTTTGGGTTTTTAGTATCCCATGGCTGCTAAGGGATTGAAAGTCCCCACATTAATGCAAATTTTATACCTCCCTCCCAGCAGGGTTCTGAATCCTTGCTGGGTAGAATTCTTTCTGCACTGTGCCCTGTGGGCAAATGTATTTGTGGTGTGTCTCCTACCTTTACATTGTGTCTTAGTCTGTGGTCTCATTGCTTTTGTTCCATCTTTAGGGTTGTGTTCTTATGTTTTGGGGGTTTTGTTTTTTATTTTTTAAGAAAAATTGCAGTCCAGCGCCTGGGTGGCTCAGTCGGTTAAGTGTCTGCCTTCGGCTCAGGTCATGATCCCAGGGTCCTGGGATCAAGTCCCACTTCAGGCTCCCTGCTCAGTGGAGAGCCTGCTTCTCCCTCTCCTCCCTGCTCATACTGTCTCTCACTATCTCTCTTTCAAATAAAAAATAAAAACCTTTAAAAAAAAAAAGAAAAATTGCAGTCACATAGGTTCCTTACATGACTCTAGATTTGGGCGCCTGGGTGGCTCAGTTGGTTGAGCGACTGCCTTCGGCTCAGGTTATGATCCTGGAGTCCCGGGATCGAGTCCCCGCATCGGGCTCCCTGCTCAGTAGGGAGTCTGCTTCTCCCTCTGACCCTCCCCCCTCTCATGTGCTCTCTCTCCCTCTCTCTCTCATTCTCACTCTCTCAAATAAATAAATAAAATCTTTAAAAAAAGGAAACATGACTCTAGGAATTGAAAACGGTATATGTTCTTTTTCAGACTGATTCTTTTCAATTTTGAAATCAGCAAAAGAAGAAAGTAAAGTCTCGTTGAGAGATATTGACGAGTATTCACTTTAGGGGCAGCTAAATTTTTCTCAACAACTTTGACTAAATAAGTCTAGCTTAGGACCTGCTCTGTGAAAGTATGTCCTAGGGCTACCAAGATAAGTCGGGAATCCTTGTCCTCAACTGACAAGCAGATATGCCAAGTAGCCAGATAACTATAACCCAAGGCAGAACAGAGAAGCATCCTAAGTTTCAAATTACCATCATCAGAGATTGGAAGGAGACATTTCATCTAGTCTGAGCATGACAGAGATTCATGAAAGAAGCTGCATTTGAAGTACTCTTGGAAGAGTAATGTAGGAATGAAAGAGGCATACCAAGCCGAAAGGAAATATGAGCAACAAGTTACCTGTTCATTTTGCTAAAATATATGGTGCGAATAAAGGAGACAAGGCTAGGAAAATATCTTGGAGCCATTTGATGGAAGTTCCTGGAATGCTGGGGTGGAGAGTTGATATTTAATTTCAGTAGGGAATAGGTACTAAAGATCAAAACTTTGCTTTAGAGATCTTTTGGCATAGAAGGTGATAATAGCCGGGCAGCCAGCATGGAGACAATAAAAACACAGTGCATCCCCTTCAGAGTTTACGTAAAGGGGACCTATAGATGGGTTGTAGTCGTGAAAAAAATAGAACTGAGAAATGCTATAAGGGTATGATCTACCAGACTTGGCAGCCCACATGCATGTCAAGGTTGAAGGAGAAGGGTGAGTCAGAGCTGTTGCTGAGATTTTGAAGCCCCAATAATTTGGAGGCAGGTGGGATGATTACTAGAAATGGGAAAGTTGGGGGAGAAACTTACTTGGAGTTTGAATTAAGGCATCTTGAGTTTCAAATACTTGGAGTGTATTCTAGCTGAAGATGGCTAGCAGGCAGAGGGGGGCTCTCAAAAACAAACAAAACACTAGTGACATATTTGGAAGTCAGAGCATGGAGATGACATTGATGATAGTGCCATCAGAGCCTCCTTATTCTGGGTAAATCTGCTCTTCGGTTGTCGGGGAGGAGTGATCCTGGGGATTAACAGGCTCTGTTCAGTCCCATACTCAGAGTAGGCAGAGAAAGAAGAGGAGCTCAGAACTTGGTCTTAGCTTAACCCAAGGCTTTGGCCATAGGACATTTAACCTTGTGGGGAGCCTCAGCTTTCTCAGA